CTTTCTTTCTTTCTTTTTTTTTTTATTATTTTGAGCATCATTTTACTATGTTAGAGAAAAAAATTTACTTTCTAAGATAACATAGTGGTACAACCAGTAACTACTAAATACAGTAAATAAAAGATAATGATCTACACAGAAATCGCACTACATATATGTGGCATCCCGTAAAGAAATATTGGATTATAAATCTTAATAATAAACAAGAGAAAATACTACTATACCGTGAGCATCCACGTGGCATTCTCAACCTCGTGCGGATTTGATTTGACATATCTATGGTTGAAGGTGCTACCACTGTGCATGTCGACTTTGTGGTCATCTTTTAAATGGCTCACGAGAAACGGGATATCGCCCAAGACCGAACACTCAGAGCCCGCGTAAGGGCAGTTGTACGGCCTGAAGCTGCACTGGGATTCATGCTTGAGCTTGCTGTAGTAAGGGTAGATGCCAAGACACCCGAAATTTTGATATTTGCACGGGAGCTCAAGGGACGCGGCTACTTTCTCCAGTGCCAGGCATCGGATGTTGCCGAGCTCGTGCCTGCAGGTTGGGCAGCGGTTGTGAACCCTGGGCTTGCAGCCAGAACATAATGTGTGGCCATTGGAACACTACAAATAGCAAAAGACGAGATAAACGGATTGAGTATCGTTGTTTAAAAACCTAAAAGGAGTCGAAACTGGGGAAAGATAAGCAGTGTCAAAGCTATAAAAGCCAACAGTCATTCAAGTACTCATGAAGATTCACCAGAAAATATGAAATCCACAAATAGTAATAGTGTAATTACCAACCCAAAAAGAACTGAGTGAGATTGCCTCATGGAGAGATGGTAATACTTTTGTAAGAAAACACATGCTCTTTTAAAATAAGTTGATGCACTATTGTTTGGTCAGGAAAAATAAAAGCCACATACAACAATTGCTGTCATGCATCATTCTCACGGCAAAAACGGTCTTAATTGTAAGCCATTTTAAACTATCATTTCTAACCCCCAGCAAGCATGAAGCTGAAACAGTCGATGTGAAACAACTTTATATTTCTCCTTAACTTATAACAGGTAGGAATATTATGACTGTAGCTCAGGATTTCTGGCATCAAATTTCTGAGCCCAAATAAATGTATTTCTTCCTTGTATAATCCAAACCATGCCACATGGTACTAGTAACAACGAAAAGTATAAATCGAAAATAAATCAAATGCAGACACTACACAGACAGAGTGTGAGGAATGAAAAGCATTTATGTGCCTTACAGACTACTCATCCTTTTTTTTTTTTAATAAGAGTTGCAGAATTAATATACCTGATGAATTGGAGGATACATAGCGTTCAAGCAAACTGGGCACTCTAGAAGCTCACGAACGTTACTTGATATAGCAACATTTGGTTTTAGAGCACTTTCAGCAGGGTTGTTGACATGTTCTCCAACATCCAAAGTGTCTTCATTGTCAGCTGGATCAACGACTTCAGGTTTTGAGCTCAAATCATCAAAAAAGGGATTCCCACTTGCCATTGGAGCAGAAATAACTGCAACTACACCTGTTAATTCCCAAATTAAAAACAAATCCAACTCAAACATGATTCAAACATAGTATTACAGTGATGTGAATCCAACAGAATGATAAAGAAAGTATGCCCTATTGTTCAACAACAATGCAAGTGGAAAGCAATATAAAACAATCAAGCTTTCTTCTTGTAAAAGAAAACACAAACAACAGAAGTTCGATTAAGTTTCCGACAACAATCTCAAAGGCTCAAGCAGTTCATAAACAGCGCGTTAAATGAAAAATGATCCGTCCAGAAAACTATGCATCACACCATTAAAACCTTCTGCTTCAAGGTGCATTATAAGGAATCCGCGAGTGCTGTGATTAACATAAAAAAAATGTACTTGTAATATCTGATCCTCAAGAACTCCACTGACTTCAAAACTGACATATACGTGAGCACATGGAAGTACTGAATATATATCATTACTTATGGTCACTAAAACCCTGCAGTTAACAATTGAAAAAACCCCAAACAGCCCTTTCCTACAACTCCACAACTTCACACTAGAGCTAAACTCTTAGTTAATAATAATTTGCATTCAACAACAACAACAACATAGCCTTTTAGTCCCAAGCAAGTTGGGGTAGGCTAGAGATGAAACCCAAGAGAAACAATGGTAAGAGAAACACAAAAAGGGCTCAAAACAAAAGGAAGAGATTGGAGCAAAAGAGAAAGGAGCAAAAGTCACGGTTGTGGCACGGTGATTGTTAGCCTCCAGGCGCAATAATTTGCATTACAGAAAAAATAAAAAATAAAAGACTGCATAACCTGATTTTAACATAAAACAAACTCTACACTTTGTCATGTAACCTGATTATCAACTAAATCAAGTCCCCATACAAAGATACTCTAAAAGACTGCATCTTTAACAATTTCATGAACAAATGCATCAGATAAAATTCTACGAAATACAACTGCTTATGCAGACATCAAAGGACACATATTCTCATAACTAAAATCAAATCGAAAAACCGTGAAATCCCAAATAAAAAAAAAAAAGGGAAAGAAAAAAATAATGAAGAAGAAAAATCAAGAAACGAAAATTCAACACATATATACAGAAAAAAATTACCTGGAACCAGCAATTGCTCTGATTTCAGAAAACCATAACAAAAAAGGGGGTTTTGTTTGTTTGGGAAAATTAATTACAAATGGGCAAAAGTCAACAAGCAAATATTTGATAAATTTTTATTAAAAATTTTGTGGATGCGTCGAGAGAGAAGTGTAGGAGGAGAAGTCAGAGTCTCGCAGTTGTTTTTTTTGTCTTGGTCTGGTGCATAAATAAGATAGCATCGCAGCAAATAAGAAATTCATATTAAAACCAACAAAAATCAAGGAGAAAATCAAATAAGAGAGAGAAAGCTTCGATTTCAAATTAAAGCTGTAGAGAGAGAGAGAGAGAGAGAGAGAGAGAGGGAGCGTGTTGACAGGGCAAATCGATAGTGGTGAGGTAGACCGTGGGCTGGAAAATGATTATTTAAATTTGTTCAATGTATTGAAGGAGAGATCTGTCGCCCTTGTGATCCTACTCGGCTTTATTTCGGATTAGTCGGTTCCTCTGTGGATCCGGAAACCAGAAGGTCCCTGTACCAAAAAAAAATATAAATTATATGGAAATGTTATCCTCCGGAATCATTTTGTCAGAATTTGTAACCGTTAAATTATCATGTAATCGTCGAGAATAGTTGATTTAACAGTTACAAATCCTGATGAAATGGTTCCGTAATGGAACCGTAGCATCTCCCTTAATTATAAAGAGATATTTTTTAAGTAATAATATTCAATCAGTGCACATACACAATAACACAAATATAAATAAAATTTTATATTGTATTGTATATGTGTATGTAAAAAATATAATCATAACATATATAATTTAGGGTCAAAATCTTTTTCACCCCATTATATATCTATTCTTTCTTTTTCACACCA